ATTCCAGTTCCAAGAGGGTGAAACCACCCCTCAAATATTACAATATTTTTTATTTAAAAAACGGTCAAGTTTCCGAAAAAACACTTAAACACGTATATTTTATTTTGTTTTTTACATATTTTAAGATTTTTTAAAAATGTATACAGGGTTTTTCGAAAAAGCTGGTCATTGATTAATCAGGATCCTGCTTGATGTAAAAAGCTGATTTTTGGAAAAGAGATTGACTTTAGGGTGTAGAGGTTCGATAAGAAGGGATTTTTCAAAACTCGAATTCTAAGGGGGTGAAACTAATTTTTTAAAAAATCATACAGGGTGTTCCAAAAAGTTGGGTAATTTCTTAACCCTCAAATAATAAAATATTTTTTATTTAAAAACCGGTGAGTTGTTCGGAAAAACTCGTAAACACGTATATTTTATTTTGTTGTTTTACATATTTTAAGATTTTTTATAAATTTATACAGGGTGTTTCATAAAATATGACCATTGAGGAATCACGATTCTGCTTAAACTGCTTGACGTTTAAAGCTGATTTTTGGCAAACGGATTGACTGTGGGGTGTAGAGGTTCGATAAGGAGGGGTTTCTCGAATCTCAAATTCCAAGAGGGTAAAAACGCCCCTCAAATATTACAATATTTGTTATTTAAAAAACGGTTAGTCTTTCGGGAAAACGCTTGGACAAGCATATTTTATTTGTTTTTTTACATATTTTGAAATTTTTTAAAAAATCATACAGGGTGTTCCAAAAAGTTGGGTAATTTCTTAACCACGATTCTGCTTAAACTGCTTGACGTAAAAAGCTTATTTTTGGCAAACGGATTTTTCGAAAGTCACATTCCAACGAGATGAAACTACCCCTCAAATATTACCAAGTTATGTAATAATATCGCCATATTGTTCATCATCAACATTACAAATGATTAATTCGACACGAACGAAGTCGCTGGTACACGCTAGTATTTTTATAAAATGCTTTCAATTAACCTATGTAATATGCTCCCAAAATTTCGTTTCGATATGAACTCCCCTTCTCCTTGGAGCCTTCGCGTCGTATGAGGGGCGCCACCCTGTATATAATCTATTACATTTAACATCCCCATGTCGACTAATCGTGTTGAAATATTTCTTGACTCGTTAGACAGACTTTAGTACATTTTAATTATAAAACCTGATATGAAGCGTTTTCGGTACCCTAGGTCACCCTGTAGAATATAACCAGAGTAAATATTTTTCGAAATTTTGGCGATAGTGTTACCACGGTATATTAAGAGAAAAATAATTACGTTAGTCAAGTTGGAAAATGTGGCTGCGGGTGGCCGCGATGATGCCGCGTAATAAGATTTGTTTATCGCTACGGTCGACGAGTGGGTTTTTAATTTGCGTGCGGAATTCAGTTTCCAAAACCGAATGCACTCTGCGAAATTTAACCCACAAATGTTTGTTTCATCGAGTGTATAGCATTACGTAAACATTAACTTGGCTTTTTCCGTCTCTGGCAAAAACGTAATTGAGCGTAATTTTATTTGGGAAAACGTTTGCCAGTTTGTTTGCTGATGGGCAAATAAATAAACAAACGTATACGGGGCAGTTGCTGAAGTTAATTTGACGTTCTTGTCTGAAAAAATTGTTAATAGGTATTTTTTTGTAAATATTGTCGATATTAGTATGAAGAATACATGATGGTTTAAGAGTATTCTGAGTTCAAGAGATCAAGAATTTTTTTTAAATTTTAAGAATATTAACGTCATTTTTGTCATTAACCTTAATTTATAAATATTAAATATCCAAGGAATGTATTATTTTATTGTTTATTATTACGGGTAGTGTGAATTATACAATTAAAAATTTATATTCTTCAAAATAATGGAATAAATATAAAACTATATAACCACAATTAAACAAAAATCAAACAACATGCATATTATTAGTGGTCATAGAGTTAAAGCTTGCCTAAAATAAGTTATCAGAATGTTAATCGTATGGTTATATATAGATGATTTTATACCAACGAAGTTTTATTTTTTGGGCAAAAATAAAAATAAAAATATATACCGGGTGGAACATCATCGTTGGAAACATAGAAAATCGCATGCAAATTTTAAACTGTACAGATATTAGCTCCTCTGTTAATTTTACAGCGAAGTTGAAATAGGTTCTTTAAAGGTCTGTGTATGCTGAATACACATGAAAAATTTGAAGAATTTTGAACAAACCGATTTTAACTAATTTAAGTAAATGTACCTTAGGTTATTAACCTATATAATTTTGTCAGTGTCAATTTGTATTTTCTAAACGTTAGGCTTTTGCCTCATTCGAACCAGTTTTAATGAAGGTGCTACAACGTAATAGTGTATACAGCACAACAAATTACATTTGACAATGATAAAATCATAGGTTGCCAACTTCAAGTATGCTGAAATTTGACTGGTTTTGTATTATTACTTGTCCAGTTTTAATATAAAAATATGATATGATATGATGCAGTTTTTCTTAAACTTAAAATGGGCTTCTCGGAAATTGTTCAAAGTTGGCAAGTGTATTCAGCATAGGCAGACCTTGAAAAACTTATTTACGACTTAGATATAAAATTAATAGGGGAGCCAATATTTGGATAGTTCAAAATTTGCATGAGATTTCTTATACCGGGTGTTGCATCGTCTGACGGGACATAGGAAATCCCATGTAAATTTTAATGGGGTCAATTATTGGCTTCCCTAATTATTTTAGAGAATAATTCTATTTAGGTTTATTGAAGAGCACTAAACCCCACATTCAAAAGAATAACTTTAGATATTTTTGATTAGCTCGTTTACGAGTTATCGCCGATTTCTTTTTAAATATTTCTCCTCTCTTATTTACGTATGAGCACCACTCAAAGTAAAAGATAACTGTCAAATGAAGTTGTCATTTCAGAAATTTACCTATTTAGTGCTTTATTATTATTGAAAACTTATTCCTACATCGGAAATCTTAGAGATGTATTTATAAATACAAATTAATATAAATTAAAGTAAAAGAAAGTAATCAATTACAAGGTTAATTATAGTATTATTACAATATTCAATAACTTATTAATTTAGGTACTATTAAATTGTTAGAACTATAAGATTTAAGAAGATGTTCAAATATTTCTCCATCGACTGCTAGACAATAACCCAGGCAATCATAAAATTCTCTTCTTACATTCGCTAGTTGGTAAATTGAAATTCTATTGCATTCGGCAGAAATAGCATTTTTTAACTCATCTAGATTTGGGTATTTTTTATCATTGTATATCCTGTTTTTTAAATGGCCCCAGAGAAAGAAATCATTTGGCAAAATATCAGGAGACCTTGCTGGCCAATTTGCTATATGATTTAGGCCAATAACGTTTCCGTTAAAACTATTGTCAAAATATTCCCGAACAGCCAGGTACCAAACTTCCTGATTTTCCCTAGCGGCATCATGTAAAGCACGTAAAATATGATTTTCGAGTAGTTCCAAATAATATTCTGCATTTAAATTTGGTGTAAGAAATAATGGCCCGATAATTAACATTTACTTTCTGTGGATATTGCGTCCTTGTTTCGACAAACCTGTGTTGGTTTTCTTTGTTCCAATATCGATGATTTTGAACATTGGGTTCATTATTTAAGGTAAACGTGCATTCGTCAGTGAAACATATGTTTTATAAAAATTCCCTATCCGTGTTTGCTCTTTCCATCATATCAAAACAAAACGCCTGCCGCCGTATTTCGTCCCCATCTCGTAGCTCTTGGTGCTTTTCATATTTGAAGAAATAGTATTTATGTCGTTTCAAAATTCGAAACGTTGTAGTGTGATCTATTCCTATTTCATCCTCAAGTTTCCTTGTGCTGATCTTTCCATCGTTCTCATCCACGCACAATAAAACTTCCAAGTCGGTATGATTTCTTGCATCTTCTCTTTGTTCCTGGCTTGCTTCACATCTGCAGTTATTTATTAGGGTACCTTTGGTCTCAAATCTCTGGATATTCCTTGCCATTGTAGATTTTCCAAGTATCGGTCTATTCGGATACAGAGCAGCAAATATGTCCGACACCTTTTGATAACTATTTCCTTGATAATACCATTTAATCATCAATACTTTTTCTTCGGTAGTGTAATTCATGGCTAATATTTTCGATGTAGGTATGAGTTTTTAATAATAATAATAAAGCACTAAATAGATAAATTTCTGAAATGACAACTTCATTTGACAGTTATCTCTTACCTTGACTGGTGCTCATAAGTAAATACAGGGCCATAAGAAAGGAGAAATATTTAAAAAGAAATCGGGCGACAACTCGTAAACGGGCTAATCAAAAATATCTAAAGTTATTTTTTTGAATGTGGGTTTTAGTGCTCTTCAATAAACCTAAATAGAATTATTTTCTAAAATAATTAGGGAAGCCAATAATTGACCCCATTAAAATTTACATTGGATTTCCTATGTCCCGCTGGACGATGCAACACCCGGTATTTCCAATGACGATGCACCACCCGGTATATACAGGGTGCTACAAATTCGGGGTACGAGCATTGGTATCTCGGAAACCGTATAATAGATACGAAGTGTGAATGATTAAATTGGGGCAAAGTTGCGCCTTGGGATGTTCACCAAGATGCCATCAAACAAATTTTCAAAATTTCAAGGGTCGCTAAGTTTAAATTTCTAATCAGTTTTTTGATTTTCCAAAAAGTAGCGACAGGAAAAAATAAAATTGATTTTCAAAAAAATCCGTTTTTTTCTAAAAAACTCAGCAATCCTGGAAATTTTTAAAACTTCTTTGATAGGGGCAAAGTTGCGCCGTAATGCCCAACTTTGCCCCAATTTAACTATCTTGGTATTTATTACGGTTACCGAGATACCAACGCTCGTACCTCGAATTTGTAGCACCCTGTGCAGTATAAGAAGGGTATAAAAAAGTACACAGTGGTTAAAAAAGTTTCTTGGAGATGCAATGGGAAATATTGGTCATGCGACACACAGTTCTTTACTTACATCATCATATCTGATATCTGTCGACAAACGTGACTGAAAAAATAAATTAAAACTAATAAAAAAGAACACCTTCATTTTTCATTTTCATTCATTTTAGTCTCATTGTACGGAATATTCCTAATTATCTTTATATTTTTGCAAAGCGTAATATTACAAACATTCTATCCAAATTAAATATCAAACTGAACGAAAAACCCTAACAAACTTTGACCGATAAAAAAGTTCGAAATTTCTTTTAATGGATGTTTTTCAAAGTTTCGTTATTCTTTTTCGATATCAGTTTCATTGTTGAAAACATATCTTTATTGACAAAAATATTTTATTAGTTTTTTTATTAATAACACCCCAAATCACGACAAAAAAGTTTATTTCTCTTGATTTAGAGTGTTATGTTAAAGTAAATAAATATAATAAGAAGCTATATAAAATGATATACTATCAGATGCGATTTTTTATTATCAGAAACAGGATAAAATAAGGTAACGCAGTTAGTTTCTCTTTGTCTAAAAATCTTGTTAAAAAGTTGCTGCAAAATTTACGCTCTTACGAGTTGTTTCTTCAACTAGAACTATTAACCATTAGAATTATTTATAACGATCCGGTAAGCAAAACGGTGGGTGAGGCTAGAGCACATAAATCGTGACAGTTACAACAATATGATTTTGCCCGGTTGCTACCAGACAAAAACTCATTGAGGCAGCGCTACCTTGGAGTCACTTACAAGCTTATGAATAAAAGAATATACACCTAACAAAATGGTTAACTTCTACTGACTTGGGGTGGCATGGCAGTTAGTCGAAAACGAATTGCGACCTATCATGCATACCTAACCCGCATTACCAAGCCGAATCCAAGAGTTAATTCAACGCCAACCAAATCATACCTGAAGTGGAAACGGACAAAGAAAATCAAGTCGAAGAAATAATCATTTATGATTTATGCTACGGAAGACAGTAGTTCAGATGAAGAATTAGATAAATAATACAAAAATAATAATTTGTGTGTTTATGAAATACTGTTCTATATTAGGTTATTTCTTTATTATTTTTTTACTTGCTGTTTCTTTTTTAACGTTTCTATATTCAATAGTACAATGTAATCTTAAATTTTATATATTTAATTGGAGATTTTATTGTCTTAAATAAAATATTTTGAAAATTTTATTTTCAAAATCAATCTCGACTACTACTAAAACGATTTCTGTTTACACTTTATATATGTTACGGCTAAAGTTGTTACTTGGCTAGTTTTAAAACTTTTTTTTTATAGATGGGAAACGCCTTTAGGGCCGGAGTGTGGGGATCTCCCTCCCTACTCTACCCAGAGGGAGGGCCTACCCACTAAAAACCCATCTTTGCTACATAACCCTAACTATCCTGGAACTGCCGTGAAGCATGACATCGGGATAGTAGGTGATTCTCAGTTATCTCATATTCTCTAAACTATTCTAACATTCATTTCCATATATGTATATATATATACATAAATCTTCCTTATTATTTTGATCAAGTCACAGTCAGTTTTATATCACAGTTTAGTTCTTTATCACAGACAATAATATCACAGTATCACGAATTTTTGGCTTTAATCTCATCGTCTACTTTATGTTTTATTATTGTATGCAGCATTGATATAATGGGTCGGCACTTTTCTTCATCCTCACTAATGGTGATACCAACTATGTTTGTGTCACAAAATGGTCTATATTAATTGCCTTGCAGTTTACCCAGAACCTTACATCTAAAATAAACGTTTTAGCCCATCCTTGATATTGCGACCACGCATCCTGCCATTTGTCCAGTATAATATTTCTGGCCTCAAATCCGAATTGGTCTCCATGTTTATACACTAGACTTCTTTGTTCTGTTTGGAGCTTTATCGGTGGAATACCGGCTAGGACCAGAATGGCCTTAGTTGGAGATGTTCTATATGCCGATGTTACTCTCAGCGCTATTTTACGATTTATGGAGTCTAAGATATTTTCGTAGAGTTTGTATTTTAGGGCTCTCTCCCATATGGGAGACGCATACAGAATCGTGGAAGACACCACCGAAGCCAATGTCCTCCTCTTTTCTGCCACCGGTCCCTTCAGATTGGGCATAACTCTGGATAACTGCTTTATGATTGTCTCTGTTTTTTCCTGAAGTTTTCGAAGTTTTCGAATATGGGTGGTCATCCGAGCGTCTTTATCTAGCCAAACTCCCATGTATTTTACCGCCCTTGTGCTTTTAATGTTGGTATTGCACCAGCTAAATTCTACCTCCATCATCTTCTGTCTTTCCGCCAAAATGACCATTTCAGTCTTATTGGTAGCTAACTCTATGCCCATCTCATCCAGCTTATTTTTAATAGTGTATGCTGCAGCAGTCATTCTTTCTATAAGCATGCTTTTGCTGGGGGCACTTGTCACTAGGGCTAGATCGTCTGCATATCCAATAAGACTGCACCCCGGTCCGTAGTCCTCTCTAAGCACTTGGTCATAGAAAACGTTCCACAGTGTCGGTCCAAGTATAGATCCTTGCGGGACGCCACATACCATTCTGAAACGTTCTCCATGTTCCGTAACAATGTACCTTTTTATGGAGGTATTGTTGGAGCATTCTAATTAGGTACCCACTGATTCCCTTTGTTTTCAAGTTGTCTTATTATTTCTTGCCATTGGGCCGAGTTAAATGCATTTTTTATATCTAATGTCAGGAGTGTTGCGACTCCTCTGGATTTGTAACTCTTGGCGTTTATATTGTCCACTATGTTTAGGATTTTATTTAGTGCATCTATTGTGGATTTGCCCTTTCTGAATCCATATTGGTTTTCATGGATGGCACCTTTCTCTGTAAGCTCCTTTTCTAGTCTATTTTTTAAAAAGGTCTCCAACAATTTAGCTCCAGAATTTAGCAAACATATCGGTCTGTACGACTTTGATGTACTATCTTGGGTTTTCTTTTCTACTAGTACCAGTTTCGCGGTTTTCCATTCCATTGGAATATGTCCTACCCTGAGACAGTAGTTCATGACATCCATGACCGATTTACAATCGTGTGTGGCGGCAGCTTTGATAACATCAATAGGAATGCCATCACAGCCCGGAGCTTTTCCCACTTTTGGACTCTGAGTCGCCTCTATTATCTCCTCTTCTGAGAAATATGGAATTTTATCTCTCTCAATGGTAATAGTCTGCCATTGTATTATCTTTACGGTCGGGAATAGTAATCGTATCTGTTCTCTAGTTGTTTCTTCTGATATACTTTTTGTTTCCAGTACTCCACTTTCTGGTGACTATTTGGTACGCTTTGCCCCATATATCCTTGTTCAGGTCATTTAAGAGATTTTCCAGGCATGTTTTTGGCGCTTTTAATAGCATGTTTCAGATTGATTTTTGCCTCTTTGTAGTTGGATATTGCTGTGTCTACATCCGTTGATTCTCCTGCCCCCCTTTCTGCCTCTCTTAGTGATCTTTTCGACACAGACTGTTGCACGTTGCCCTTATCTCCGCTATATGGTAACTCCACCAATAAGTAATTTTTTGCCGTTTTCTATTTCTGGGTAAAAGATAGAGATTGCATAAACTCTTTAGGGATTTACTTAGACTCTGCGGATTAACCGCCTTCATACGCAAACCCTCACTCTCGCAGTGAGACCTAATTCGTTTCATACTCGATTGTGTGACCCTCCATTTGTACGCAATTGGTTTTGGTTTATCCACAGTTGTATCATTCGTGATCTCAAAGTAGATATTTCTATGGAGGCTCATATTTTCCTCGCTTTCAGCCACTTTCCAGTTCTTAATTTTGAGGCTTATACTTGCTGTAGCCAATGTTATATCAATCATCGACTCGCCATTCATATTTTTGAAAGTGGGGATATTGCCCTGGTTTATTACAACCAGATCATTAGCCTCTATCCACTCTTTCCACTATCTTGCCCTTTTTCGTTTATTGTGGTGGAGCCCCACAATCTAGACTTAGCGTTTAGGTCACCGCCTATAATGGCTTCTTTTTTTTTCCCTTTTATGATAGTTTCTATCTCTGCTAGCACGTCCTCTAGCAACTGGCTAGGTTTGCTAGGGGAGAAATAACATGAAAAGAATAACGCATCACGAGTTTCAGCACAAAACAAAACTTTCACAACATATATAATCTATCACAGACAACTTATTTCCAGTGTAAATAAACGCATCACAGTTTGTATCACAGATTTCTTTGCTTTTAGCAATCAAATTTGGTTCTTGTCCTAGTAATATATCGATATTTTTTTCGATTATGTTTTGTAGGGCGAGGTCATACGCTGCTCCTCGTCTGTCGATATTTATTTGGAGAAACCGGATTGTCATCTTTCTAGTTCATCAGATACGGGGTATATTTACTTGTCTTTTTTCTTTCTTTTCTCCTCTTTCAGTGCCTTTTTAAAGGCACCACACTTACTGCCGTTCGCGCTGTGTCCCTCCTTTTCGCAAATCAAGCAGTAAGTCTGCCCCGAACATTCTTTGGCATTATGTCCCTCCTTTCCACACTTAAAACATATTCCCTTTCTGTCTGGTCCCTTACAATCCATGACTTCATGGTCGTATGCCCAACATCTCCTGCAGCTCTTAAGGCCAATCCTCCTTTCCACCTCACATCTAACCATTCCTATTTTTATATAACTGGGCTTTTCCAATATATTTGCATCTTCTTCTATTAGGTTTACCGTAATTGCCTGGGTGTTAGCGTAGTTTGGTCTCAACTCTCCTATTTTGACATCTTTGTTTTCTAGTGGCCCGAGGTATCCTTCCAGGGCAATTTGTATTGCCTCTTTCGATGTTTGGGAATCCATACCTCTAATATGGAGAGGGGGGAACCTAGTTTTAAAACTAGCCAGCTATTTTGCAAACTAACTAAAACCGCTGTTATTTTAAAGGAATTTGTCCATTCTTGCAAAATAGCATGCAGCCAACGGCTAGTTTAGTTAGTTATTTTAGTTAGTTTGTATAATAATCATTTATAATTTTGGCTAATATGATAACTCCATTAGTTTTAGTCACCCAAAATAGCAAG